GCTTACAGACAATTAAGTCATTTTACCTACCAGAGCATTTTTTTAAATAACCAAAGGCTTAATTTTAAAAAATGGCTAGTAATTTGAATATCTCAAGAGTCTTCAGGAAGTGCTGAAGACTTACCCACCTCAGACAAAGCCCCCCCAACCATAGCAAAGACTGTAAAACCTTCAGAGAGGCTTCCGGGTAGACAGGTAATCCACAGATTCCTAGAACAGGATATACTTCCTCTTTCTCTAATGGTTGTCACTGTTGGAAACTCAACTGGAACTTTGGGTGGACCAGTCTAGCAATTCCTATGTTCTTATGCCCCCAATTGGCATAAAACAGCTAACTACATCTCTGCTCTGATGCAGCAACCTAAAGTCTCTTGTATCAGCAACTGGAGAAAGGGAAGCAATCTCCAGTCATCTCTGGAAAATTCCCTGTTGCACAGTCTTTGAGAAAATCTAGCAAGAGGCCCATTAGGCATCAGAGCAGATATTTAAGGACATTCTTATTTTAGCCATTTAACCTTGGAAGTTCTTGGGGATGAAGGTTTTCTTCTCACTTGTTTCTGCTGTACACCAGCAATTAGGAATAAACTGAGATCAGGATGATGACTTTAAAGAGAGAGGTTTTATATCTCAGTTTGCTGTGAATCATTCAGTCCAGCCTGTTAAATAACCTGTACCAGTAAAGATCTTCTTTGTTATTAGTACACCCAGAAGTGGTGTCCTACATAAGATAAGAACATAAAGTACAGTGAAGTCTTGTTTTTGTACCAGATGCCATTTAAACTGGGAACCAAGATAAACCAATTTTATCTTCAAGCAATTTTTTTCAGTAATACCCATAAAATTTTCTGTATAGTTTTTTTCTTACCTTAATGTAAAGGTAGTCTATTGGTTCTTGTTCCTCTCTGCAGTGGTCTGTAAAACAGTTTTAGAAGTCTGAAATACAAATACTTTTATCTTATTTAAATTAGTAAGTATCACAAGTTTTTGGTTTTAATACGCTCTGAGAACTTGAGGAGACTCATAGCAAAGTGTTCTTTGGGATGTGGAACGGTGTCCTTTGGGCCATCTTGCAGGAAGGATTGTGAAACTACACTGCAACTTTTCAATCAGTATAATGAATTATGTCATCCCAGTAGTAGTGTGCTGCTTCTCTGTCACATCATATTGTCCTATGTCTGTTTAGCATTATACAGCAGTTTCAGGCTGCTCACAGTGTCCGTGTTTGTAGTTGTCATCCTCATTTTACACACAGGGAAGTTAAAGCAGAGGGGTACGGCCATCTGCTTTTGCTTACAAGAGTGTCTGAGCCAGTATCTGAAATTAGGACCCCTACTGTTCATCCCTTTCTACAATAGGAAGGGCCGTGTGCTGAAGGAGCAGCACTCCCCACCTTTGCAAAAGGGTCTGCCTTGAGCAATGGAATGGCATATCCTCTGGAGCAGTTTCTCAATCCATGGGTCACGACCCAAAAGTAGGTTGCAAGAATATATGAAAGGGTCACAAATAAACTTCAAAAGGATTGACAAACTTTCAAGATGGATTTTCCTTTAAAGGAGAAAAATGTGGGGAAACCGTGGCTTTTCCCTTGGAGGCTGGCAGAGCTCAGGGCTGCCTGGCCCCCCCCAATCCCACACACCCACCCCCTGCCCCACAAACTGGGGACCTGGAGTCTGTGGGCAGGAGGCACTGGGTCGGGACTGGCCATCAATGTTTGCAAATGGATCCTGATACAAAAAAGGTTGAGAACCACTGCTCTGGAGGACTGAATGGCACTCACTAGCTCAGTTGGAAAGAGGAGGGGGAGAAGATGATCTACCTCATCCACTGAAAGGATGATGATGTGACCTGGCACCTGGAGGATGGCAAAGTCTCTCAGCTTTGATAGGGAGCCAGGGGGTGCCCTGGGGGAAAACCGGGCTCTGACCCTGGAAAGCTGAGTCCTTTATCCAGCTCAGTCATAGACTTTGTGTAGCCTGAGGTGCATGGTAAGGGGGAGACAAAGCACTCGCTTTTTTTCAGAAATAATTTCTGATTTTGAGTGCCTCTTGTATTTGGGTGTACAAACTGAAACCTTGTTGGCCGTGTATTTCAGAAGTCCAGCAGAAGCCGTAGGAAGCGGAGGGTTCTTAGTGCCTTGGCAATCAGACCCTCAGTATGGCAAGTTGGACACTCAGATCTCTGTTTGAAAATGTGGGCCTTAATCTCTGCATAATCTTTTTAAAACAGGAAATTCCCTCCTTCCAAGGAGAGTCACAAGAATGAATTACTACTGTATTGTTTGGACTCCAATATCCGTATTCATATTTTCCATAGAAAATGCTGTGTATAAATAATAATCCTGCAAACCCTTAACTCCTACTTAACTTCTCGTAATATGTTTGTACAATAAAGCTACAGACCCGTGTCAAAATTAACATTGTTCATAGGCTTTGAGACCATGCAGTGAAAGGAAAAGGGAATGCAAAGCTGCACTGGGTCTTGAAGGTCCAGGAACTCCGAATATAAAGCTGCCTTTCAGCCCTTTAGGATGAGGACAACATTAGCAGACATCCTTAACGCTGTTCATTCTTTCTCCTTGGCAGGTTACGTGTTCTGTATGTTACATCGCCTACCCGAACAACACGACTGCACATTTGACCATATGGGACGTGGCCGTGAGGAAGCCATTATGAAAATGGTGAAACTGGACCGGAAAGTAGGGAGATCGTGCCAGCGCATTGGCGAAGGGTGTTCCTGAGTGCAAGACTCTGCAACCAAATGCTGTTCTCTTAGTTCACTAATGTTAGCCTTATTTAGGACAAAATCAGCCAGACACCTTGTACTGGGCAAGTTTCAGACTACAGCCAATCAGTTTCCTTTCTTTAGCCAACCGTCCTGGTACTGTAGTTTAGGGGTTGATGGTGGTTGAAATTGATTTCTGGCTGGTTATTAAGGTGCCTGCTAGCCACTGAATAAAATTAAAACATGAAGAAATACTTTTTCGAGCATGGCTAGTGGATTTAAACAAAACAAACAATCCAAAGGCTTCTATTATTGCTGGAGTCACTTTCAAAGCCTTATGCTGGAAATCTTCCAGCTACAGAGTTAAAACAAGGAGCTGAATAGAAGCTGATGTAAAAGTTTGCTATGCACATAGCTTTCAGACAAACTGTGTTTAATGTGCAGCCTTTCACCTCTTCTAATTAATCCTGACAAGGTTGAAACTCCACTAAGAGCAGCCACTGTAGCTGCTACGCCCAGAAGACCTGATTGGTCACTCGTGCCTTCATCGCGTGTGGCTTGTGAGGTTAGGCCGTGTTACCAGCATCAGGGATTCTGACGGGGCGGGCATGTCTTTCTGGTTCTTCCAGGAAGCCAAAAAGAGAGGGGGACAGAGATTCTTATGAAAAACTTTTATATCTAACTTGCTATGGAGAACCTGGATTTTTTTTTTCCGTTTAAATAATCTCACTTAAACTGAACACCATCCCAGAGCAGTAACCTGTATGCATTTTCTACACGGCATCTTCAGAATTTCTAAGGGTTGTGTGAACAGATTCCATGGTTGTGGTAAACACTGACCAGTGCAGCCGTTCACACCAGTGAAACCTGATTGGCTCTTGTTTGCCTTTTGCTAAGTGCAGGTATCTGATAATTGATCAAATAAGGCTAATTCACAGCACAGTAGCCATGGCTGGATTCTACAGACTGACTTTCTGTAGCTAGACATATATATTGGGGAAAAAAGGACATTTTGTAGCAAACGGAATTCAGTAACAGTATTGGGGAACAACCAGGAAAGCACCCATTATCAACTTGAGTTTGTACTCCTCGCTTCCAGTGTTAACAAGATAATCAAATGGGCTATGTCAGCCTTGTTCCTATGCAGCTGAATGCTCTCATGAAAATATCTGCCCGCATCTGTTGCAAAGCAAGTGTAGCAAGTGAATGTGAAAAGCATTACGTGGAATAGACAGCACTGGATCTGTTGTTCAGACCTATGGTTCTGTATTGCGGTCTGTCATATTGAGCTGAACTGCACAGATCTCGTTAGTTTGTAGCAAAAAATATTTCAGCATGTCTCCTGCTGCAGACAAAGTTTATGCAGGTACAGAGGATTTGTGTTGATGCGGCCTGGTCTAGTCCTGTGTGGATTTTGTTTCCCAACACAAATTAGTAAGGCATTAACAATCAGGTAATTCAGTAGGACATCTGGGATAGGGAAAGACTTTGTATTGTCTTGAAATATTGGGCAGGTATAAACCATTCAAGAGGTGACAATGAATTGTCACTGAAAACCAGTGTGTGTAGGGTGGGGGGAGGGGAGAGCCTAAGTCATCCTGTATTCTCTTTGTTTTAAAGGTAAATGATTCCTTACAGGCCAAATTATACTGTTATTTTGGTAGCCGGCTAGAAGCATTTAACAAGGAGACAATTTAAAAATATATATATACTCAGCATCTGACTGTATTAGTGTAAATTAACCCTGAAGCAAATCAGAAATGTCCCATCATTATAAAATGCAAGCTATGGAAAAGGCTAACTAAGTTTGTTTTGGGTTTTATTTTATGATTATTATTATTATCCCAAGCTATTAAATTGGCAGTAGAAATTCCAGCGACGTGCTGTATTTTCAGAAAATGGTCCCACCTCATCCTGGTGAGAGGGATAATACGAGGATATTCTTTACATTTACCATGAGTTTAGAAATCATGAATTTCAGCTGCTGCTGAGATAGGCACTTTCTTTTCCTCTCAAATCCTAGCATAGCATTTGATGGGCATTCTGATTTATACTCAACTTTTCCACATTAATACTGAAGATGCTATTTGTTCTTCCTTAATCTTTTCTTTAACCCTGTTACAGGTGCACAGTTGGTTTCAAGGTGGCTCTTGAGAGAACACTACTCATAGTTTGTGTGGGTTATGGACAATGTTCACTTTAAAAAAAAAAAAAAAAAAAAAACGTGGGGGGAAGGGTTGTTCCTTTGCAGTATCTGTTCTGTGAAGTTTGTTAAACGTAAAGAAAGCTTAAGTTCTTGTATCTTTAAAGAAAATCTTATTTAACCCTTTTGTGTTCTAGATTTACTTACACATGTAGCCTAGAGCTCAGTTTTAGTTTAACATTGTGAAAATATTAAAAAAAAAATCTTGTAACTTTATTCTTTTTCCTCCTGCTAAAAAAAAAAAAAAATTAAACCAATCAGATTAAAGTTTGAATTCCTTTCTGACTATTCCAACAAGGATTGTGATCTGCACTGTTTCTGCTAAGGTTTGTGTATGAAATGTGAATAAGGGAAAAATTAGGCACTGGGCTAGTGATTATAGTTGATGGGGAATGGACAGCATGTTTTTTTGCCAGTCTCTGGGGTTGGCACTAATGCAGGGCTCAAGGTTAGCCATTCTTTTATAAACAAATCTTATTAAGTCTACTGTAACTTCAATATTGGAAAATAACATTTTGAGGGTAGTTACTTATACGAGTCAAAGGAATTTCTTTGCTCGTAAGTCCTCTACACAGAGTGCTGCACTATTACAGCGGCAGGAAGGTAGATAAAAAATGTCCTCTAAAGTACATTTTTGATTAATTTGGACAGGTTTCCACTCCCTCCCTGCCCCCCCCACTCACCTACAGTAGCTGTCTTCTGAATGCGAAGTTCCATTGTTTATGGAATGTGTTCATAATTGGTAATTAGCTGATAGACTACATAGCTTGCATTTTACCCCTCATTTAGATGTCTAAAAACACAGCCATTTGAATACCAGTAGTGTGTTTTAAGCACATAGATGGAATGTCAGGATGGAATTTGGCTAATTTCTTTAAATTCAGTTTGGAATTGAAGTGATGCCTGAAAATCATGGGATGTGTACCCCTATTTTCCCCCCTCGAATGAACACAGTACTTTCAAACAAAATTGTGTTCTGTGGTTCTTGTGCACCACTCCAGTAGTGCGGGAATAAGAGCTGTCAGGCTTATTTTTGCTCTAGTCAGCCAATATTTCCAAGGAAATTAACTCCCCTGGCAAAAAGGAGCATCAAGACCCACCTCTCCAAATCCTCACTTGTGGTATCCACTTCCTGCCTTTAAATAGTTGTTGTTTTTATCAAGGGAATGAATTTTATGCTGAGGAAAATGAGGGACTCCCAGCAGTGGTTATATCTGGGCACTGTGTAGGCTGGCATTGCACAAGTATCCCTCTGCATTTATGCCAACATACCTTTAGTCTGATTGTGTAAATGTTAGCTGTTCTAGGGATATAGCAACAGAAAAAAAAATATTTTTTTAATGAAAAATGTGGCAGATTATTTTATGAAGAATGTGTCTGGATCAGTTGTAATCTCCAGGCCTCTTTTCCTGCATTCAGTTAATTTTATGGCATGAACCCAATGATATAGAATACAAATAATCACCTCTCTCCTCCTGTGATGCATACTGTATTTGTGTCTAGCTCTCAAAGGTGCAAAGATACATGCATTATCCCAATACTGTACTTCAGTGTTGAAGCCCTAAGGAAAGAAAATGGGATCCGTGTTTATAAAATGTGAACTCTGGAAGCCTTAGCAAAATTTCTAAAAGCACTCAAAGTGTGTACCCATCTGCATGCTATTTATATATCTAGACAGAGCAACCAAGTAACTTTCTTTTGTCACTCGGTTTGTTAACTAAAATTGTTGGTTATTTGTAGGACAATAGAGGAGAGGTTTGAGCCAATGTGCTCTGTTTACAACATTGCTGTCAAATTCATCAGCATCTCCTCCTTCCTTTTGATATGAATATTGAGCCAACTCATCACCTACCAGTTTTTTAGTTTCTTTTCTAACCTTTAAATTGTGATATATGGGCACCAGCTTCCTAGCAGTAGAATGGTTTGATCTGGGGTTTTTAAACCATATTTGAAACAAAAGAACCAATATGATACCACAAAAGAGGCAATATATGACAGTGTTAAAAGAAATTTTTCCTCCATACTTAGTATGCACGAACACAACCTCTTCTACCATGATGACTACCTAACTCTTCTTGATTCATCTAATTGGGACTGCAGCCCACTGTTACGACCAGGGATCCTGGTTTTCTCTTGATTAAAAAAAATCCCCAATTTTTAGGTTAAAAAAGTAACCCAAAATCCAAATTTTTCTATGATCAAAATGAAACACCACTACACTAGCAAGTTGCATACACTAGCAAATTGCCCATCAAAAATTGGGGGGTGGGGGTGGTAGGGACAGAGCCCAGCATTGGGCCCTGTGCCCCCGCTCTCCCCCCTCCCTGTGCTAGTCCAGCCCCACCCACT